TGCCACCAACAGAAATATTTAAGAACATAAAATGTAGGAACACTGCAGAAGGCCTACTGGCCCATCGGGGCAATCCTTATCAAAACGACCTTTTCCTAAAGCTCCCCAAAGAAAAAATTAATTAATTTTTCTGTCAACCATGGATTTCTTATACAATTTTCTAAAATTTTTTTGAAAATAAATTGGGAGGTTAAAGCTCTCACTAAAAAATAGAGCATTGGAATCTGCCATTTCAACTTATTTATGTTTTTTAACTAAGTTGTAATAAAGTTGGTAGAATTACCGACAATATGTAAAGTAAAAGGACACAATCAACAAGTGACATTTTTGTGGCAACGTTTCGCTCTCCAGAGTTTAAAATCAACCCATTAAAACATACATGGACACGGGGGTAATAAAGGCTCAAGTGAGGGAAACTAGTGGGTACCTTTTCGATTTTCACTAGTGGTATATATAGTAGTGGTAGTGGTATTACTTTTGTATTATTTTTGTACTACCACACCATACTACTCTACTACCACTGTGAACATCGAAAGGTACCTCACTATTTTCACCTCACCTGAGCCTTATATACCTCTTGTCCATTTTTTGTTTGAAAGGGCTTGAAAAAGCCCTGGAGACAAAACGTTGCCACAAAAATGTCACATTATTGCACTTGTGCCCTTTTTACTTTAATCTAATTTCGAGACTTTTCCCCTTTTGACCGTAAAAACCCCATCGCAAACTTTACAAGGAATCCCCCCAGACACATCCGTCAGCATTTTGGGGGGGAATTTCCCCATAAAAAAGCCCCCCCACTGACAAGATTTCTAAATAAAACTTTAATTTCCCAAAAAATTTCCCAAAAGAAAAGGCCATAACCAAATCCCCAGGGCAAGGGAGAACCAACTCACCCCCAGCCAAAAAGGCTGGTTACCCCTTTTTCCCGGGTTGCAAAAACACCTCCGCAACCCAAAGATCCTTTAATCACTTTCCCCCGGGGCACCCCGATCTTTTTGGGCCATTTCATAAATTTTGGACTTTTTCCCCTCCTAAACCGGACCACAAACACAAAGCTCCCAAAAACACCGAAGAAAACGACAGTTAAACTCCATCTTGATGGGAAGAACAACAGTAACACACGGGGAAAACCATTTGTAGTTTTCTGAAAATTTTAAAATTTTGAACTCACCACCACTCACAACAACCAAAACACCAAAAAGGCAACGAGTCACTTTCCTCAAACTAACACAAAATTCATAAAGGGCCAAACTTTTCAATTCGCCAAGGAAACTGCACTTTCTACACTCCCGGCACAAAAAAAAAAAAACCATCAACACATCTAACCCCCCGCCCAACAGGGGGACAACCTTTTTTTATGCACCCAAATATAGCTTTTGTAATTTTTTTATTCAGTGCAAGTTGATTATTCTACCATTTTGTTTAGTATTACCATTATATTACTACTATTTACTACATACCACTAGTTTTACCCTCATCTAAGCCTATATATCCCTCTTTTCCCCATTATTTTTTTGAAACGGCTTGACAAAGCTCCTGGAGACGAAGCGTTGTCCAAAATGCACTTATTGCATTTGGGGCCTTTTACTTTACATATTTCGTAATTCTCCCAAAAATTTAATTACACTCTTCTTCAAAATGGGGTTCTCCTCTTTTTCAAGATGGGGGTTCTCTTCTTCAAAGAGGCGGTTCTCTTTTTCAAAGATGGGTTCCTTCTTCAAAGATGGTGGGCTCTCCTTTAAAACTAAGTTGGGAACTTCATAAAATTTATTTAAATTTTCCGCTTTATCTTATAAAGTCCAAGAATTTTAAATTTTAAAATTCTCGTGAGGTTTTCCCCAAATGGCGTCAGTATTCGGAGCCTGTCCACCCGCCCTGTTTTTGGGCGTCGTGCCAAACTGGGTGGAAACCCATGATTTTTCGTGGGAATATTTGGGTCTTTTTAAAAATATTCAGGGTTTTCGTGGGAATATTAAATTTTTCTTCGGGGAATACCCATGATCTTCTGGAAATCTTGGTCGTTGGGGGGAATACTCTTGAATTCCAAGGGCCTCACACAAAATTTTAACGTATTCCCCGCCACCACTCCCGGGAATCCATTCCATTTGCAGGTGGAATGCGTTCCAAAAACCTATTCTCTTTTTCCAAATAGAAAAGTCACATTTTAAAAAAAAATTTCCAGGACACTTAGGGTCTCCCAAATGCAGGACCTTTTGCAATATCGCTGACTCCAGGACACACAATAATAAAAAAAATAAAAAAAATAATAATAATAATTAATAATATTATTATTATTATTATTATTTATTATTATTTTTATTATTATTATTTTTATTATTATTTTTTTGAAAGGGGCAGGGGTTGTGATAAAACATCAATTGGGTTTTGCATCAGAAAGCCTTGTTTTGAAAAAACATTTCCCGGGCAAAAAAAAAAAAAAAACCATCTTCAAATAAAATGTCTTCCTGATGCGGGACATTTTGGAATCTTTCCTGGATAAGGACATTTTTGGAAATTTTTCCCTGATGCGGGACATTTTGGGAAATTTTTCCGGGATGCAACATTTTGGGAATCTTTTTTTTTTTTTATGGGTTTAATTTTTTATTTTTTTTTTTTTTTTTTCCCCATTTTTTTCTTCCTATGCAGGACATTTTGGAATTTTTCCCCCGGGATGCAGGACACTTTGGAGTTTTTCCTGGCTGCAAGAACTTTGGGAATTTTTTCCGGCTGCAAGACATTTTGGAATTTTTCCCTGGATGCGGGGACACTTTGGAATCTTTCCGGGAGCAGGACACTTTGGAATCTTTCCGGGTGCAGGACACTTTGGAATTTTTCCCTGGCAGGACACTTGAATCTTTCCTGGATGCAGGCACTTTGGAATTTTTGCTGAATGCAGATACTTTGGAATTTTTTTTTGGATCAGGAACTTTGGAATCTTTCCGGGAGCAAGACATTTTGGAATTTTCCGGGATGCAGGACACTTTGGAATTTTTCCCTGGATAGGACACTTTAATCTTTCCTGGATGCAGGACACTTTGGAATCTTTCCGGGATGCAGGACATTTGAATTTTCCTGGATCGGGACATTTGGAATCTTTGCTGAATGCGGATACTTGAATCTTTCCTGGATGCAGGACACTTTGGGAATCTTTGCTAAATGCAGGATATTTTGGGAATCTTTTTTGGGATGCGGGACACTTTGGAATCTTTCCTGGATGCAGGACACTTTGGAATTTTTTCCTGGAGCAGGACACTTGAATCTTTCCTGGATGCAGGACACTTTGGAATCTTTGCTGAATGCAGGAACTTGGAATTTTTTTGATGCAGGACACTTTGGAATTTTTCCTGATGCAAGACCTTTGGAATTTTTCCGGGAGCGGGACACTTTGGAATCTTTCCTGGAGCAGGACACTTTGGAATTTTTCCCTGGATCAGGACACTTTGGAATCTTTCCTGGATGCAGGACACTTTGGAATTTTTCCTGGATGGGGGATGTAAGGGGGTTCGAAAGGAAAATAGAGGTTAAGTTAAACACACTTTTTGGGAGGGTAACACTTTAATGGCAGAGTGTGAAGAGGGGCCCCCCTGCCTTTGCGCTTGGTAGTCAAAGGGGAACTGAGGGGGACCCGGGGCCAAAGGGGGCTCACAACCTGCCCGTGACGTCACACAAAAATCCCTAGCCTAGCAAGGGGTCGTGTATGTAAAACAAGGGTGGTACTTGATACTCAATAAGCTATACAACACATATAGGGGGCAGCAACATGCGACAAGGGCACTTTGGGAACTTTCCGGGTGCAGGACACTTTGGAATCTTTCCTGGGTGCAGGACAAACTTTTGGGAAACTTTCCCCCGGATGCAGGACACTTGAATCTTTCCGGTGCAGGGCACTTTTGGGAACTTTGCTGAAGAGGTACTTTTTGGAATCTTTTTTTGGGTGCAGGCCTTTTTAATCTTTCCTGGATGCAAGACACTTTGGAATCTTTCCTGGATGCAACACTTTGGGAACTTTTCCCGGGGAGGACACTTTGGAATCTTCCTAAGCAGGACACTTTTGGGAAACTCCCTCGAAGCTTTTTAACACCCTGGTTCCAAGGGTTGAGGTGCGTCGTTCTGTTTTAGGTTTTTCCCGGGACTTCCGGGCCCCGGGGGCTTCCCCAGATACGACCCGGGGGTGCCCCCCCGGGGGGGGGGTGCGTTTTATCTTCCTATTTCTTCTGTATTTTTTTCTTTGGGGGCCCCCCGTTGGAGGGGGACTTCTTTTGTCTTGCAGTGACTCCCCAAGTGGGGAATGTCCTTTCGAAGCCCTCTTCAGCAGCATAGGGGGGCGGAGGGAGCAATTTCAGGGGTTTGTTTTTGGGGCCAACCCCACTTAGCAGGGAGCAAAATGCGGGGGAAAATTGTCTTCACGGGATTGATCATTGACAGTCTTCTTAAGTTACTGAACAAAAAATTTTTTCAAACATTTCACACGCCCCACAGCAGCAGTCTGGGGCATGATCTGTGGTGGCAGCAGTGCTGGCGCATATCTCTGTGTGTGGCAGTGCTGGCGCAGTTCTCCGTTGTGCACATGCTGGCCCCCCAGTGAACTTGTGTGGCAGCAGTGCTGGCGCAGTGATCTCCGTGTGTGGCAGCAGCGCTGGCGCAGGATCTTGGGGTACACTTTCTGGTGGGAGTGATCGTGTGTGGCAGCAGTCTGGCGCAGTGAACTGTGTGTGGCAAAATGCTGGCCAGTGATCTCCGTTTGGGGGCACAGCGTTGGCGCAGTGATCTCGGGCAGCAGCGCGGGCAGTGACTCCTTGTGTGGGAGCAGTGCTGGGGCAAATGATCCCGTGTGGGCAGCGGCTGACGCAGTGATCTCCAGTGTGGCAGCAGTGTTTGGGGGCCATGATTCCGTGTGTGGCAGCGTGCTGCGCAGTGATCTTTTTGTGTGGCAGCAGGCTGGCGCGTGAAACGTGTGTGGCAGCATGCGGCGAGTGCTCCGTGTGTGGCAGCTGGGGTGGCGAGGGGGATCTCCGTGGTGGCAGCAGTGCTGGGGGGGAGTGACTCCGTGTGTGGCAGCAGTGCTGGCGCAGTGTCTCCGTGGTGGCAGCAGTGCTGGCCAGTATCTCCTGTGTGGCCCGCAGTGCTGGCCGTGATGTGTGTGGGCCGCTGGCGCAGGTTTTAAACCCCATTCGCCAACATTGCACACCCCACCCCACCACCACCACACAACACACACCACACACCACACCAACACCACCCCACACACACACACACACACACACCAACACACCACACACAACACCGCCACACACACACACACACACACACAAATCGCACTTGTATATAATGGTTTCCCCCACCTTCCCTTTTCTTAATATGACTTGTGAAAAACCAAGTTTGGGCATAAAACTTGTCAAAAGTTTCCCTCTCTTATGTCCGGGGGGAAAATTTTGGAATTGATATTTTTTATTATAGTGATTTGCAATAATCTGAATGTATATGAGGTTTTTTCGTTTTAGCTCTTGTGGTCTTCGAGCCTTTGGAAATTCCAAGTTATCTATTTATCATAGAATTAAAAAATCGGGGGAAATCAGAGAGGCCAAAAACGGAATTTGTAGCCTCACCGGGGGGCTGACTACAGTAAACCCACATTCAGAATATTATTTTTACACAGTTAATTTACGTGACTGGAATGTCAAGGGCACAAGCCCGGTTCACAGTGATTGTTATTGCACGGTGTATTATTTTTGTTGTTGTTGTTGTGTGTGTGTGTGTGTGTGTGTGTGTGTGTGTGTGTGTGTGTGTTGTGGGTGTGTGTATGCGTGTGTGTGTATGTGTGTATGTGTGTGTGTGTATGCACGCGCGCGCGTGTAATTTCTCTATAATCTGGCATATGATCCTGTCGTTAGACCCTGGTAGTCTCGGGCTACACTCCTGGTAGTCTCGGGCTACACTCCTGGTAGTCTCGGGCTACACTCCTGGTAGTCTCGGGCTACACTCCTGGTAGTCTCGGGCTACACTCCTGGTAGTCTCGGGCTACACTCGGTAGTCTCGGGCTACACTCCTGGTAGTCTCGGGCTACACTCCTGGTAGTCTCGGGCTACACTCCTGGTGGTCAACTGCTCGACAAATGGCAATACATATAACATAATCACTGTGCTTTGCGTTTGTCTAGTCTTATAGTTTTTTACAATCTAAATATATTTGCAGCTTTATAACTTAGATGCGTTTTAATTTTTTTTTTTGGCAGGAAAATGAAATGGAAGTAATTATATCCTAGCGAAATTCCACGATTTTTTGATAACACATCGATTAGTGCCTCCCAGATTGCGTTCATTAGCACCAACTCTCTATTGAAAGGTCATGCATTCAACCGTAGGATCAATATAGTTGTGCAAATGATAGTCGACTGTTGTGGATCGTATACGATGAATGCTATAGAAAATACAATCTATTTTTAAAAGCCACCACCGGATTGATGCCCCGGCCGGGCGGGCAAGCCAGCCAGCCAGCCAGCCAGCCAGCCAGCCAGCCTCCCTGAAAACCTATCCAGTAGCGGATAGCTGGATTTGACCATTTGATTTGACTTGTTATGCCGCCCCGCCGCTCTCAGACCCTTCCTTTGCGGGCCACCCAAGACTTTCTCCTGTTTCCTTAAAGCTGTGTACTCGCCTAGTTGTACTCGGCTAGTTGTACCTGCAGGGGTCGATTCACACCTACTAGCATCGCTTCTTTAGCTATTATTGACCCATTGATTCCTGATCTCCGGGGCTGGTTGTACTTCATCATAAATCTGTGGACTGTAGCCTCCAACACATCTTTATTTCATTTCACTTGTCACCCCAAGACTGAATAACTACACACACACACACACACACACACCACACACACACACACACACACACACACACACACACACACACACACACACACACACACACACACACACACAAACAGACACACACACACACACACACACACACACACACACACACACACACACACACACACACACACACACACACACACACACAAATACACACATACACACACATGCACACACACACATACACACATACGCATACACATACACACACACATACACACACACACACATACACATACACACACACACACACACACACACACACACACACACACACACACACACACACACACACACACACACACACACACACACACGTGTGTGTCACAAACCTACTGGAGTTCTATGGCAGGGTGACAGCAGTAAGACAAGAGAGAGAGGGATAGGTAGACGTTTGACACAGTTCCACACTAAAAGATTAGTACAAAAGCTGGAGGACGAGGCATGAATAACAGGGAAGGCACTGCAATGGATCAGGAAATACCTGTCAGGAAGACAACAGTGGGTCATGGTACATGGCGAAGTGTCAGAGTGGGCGCCTGTGACCAGCGGGGTTCCACAGGGGTCAGTCCTAGGACCGGTGCTGTTTCTGGTATTTGTGAATGACATGACGGAAGGAATAGACTCCAAAGTGTCCTTATTTGCAGATGATGTGAAGTTGATGAGAAGAATTCAATCGAACGAAGATCAGGCAGAACTACAAAAGGATCTGGACAGGCTGCAGGCCTGGTCCAACACCTGGCTCCTGGAGTTCAGCCCCATCAAATGCAAAGTCATGAAGAATGGGGAAGGGCAAAGAAGATCGCAGATGGAGTACAGTCTAGGGGGCCAGAGAATACAAACCTCACTCAAGGAAAAGAATCTTGGGGTGAGTATAACACCAGGCACATCTCCTGAAGCGCACATCAACCAAATAACTGCTGCATCATATGGGCGCCTAGCAAACCTCAGAACAGCATTCCGACATCTTAATAGGGAATCGTTCAGGACCCTGTACACTGTGTATGTTAGGCCCATATTGGAGTATGCAGCACCAGTTTGGAACCCACACCTAGCCAAGCACGTAAGGAAACTAGAGAAAGTGAAAAAGTTTGGAACTAGACTGGTCCCGGAGCTAAGGGGTATGTCCTACGAGGAGAGGTTAAGGGAAATCGACCTGACGACACTGGAGAACAGGAGAGATAGGAGGGATATGATAACGACATACAAAACACTGAGAGGAATCAGCAAGGTGGACAGAGACAAAATGTTCCAGAGATGGGACACAGCAACAGGGGGTCACAGTTGGAAGTTGAAGACTCAGATGAATCACTGGGATGTTAGAAAGTATTTCTTCAGTCACAGAGTTGTCGGGAAGTTGAATAGTCTGGGAAGTGATGTAGTGGAGGCAGGATCCATACATAGCTTTAAGAAGAGGTATGATAAAACTTATGGAGCGGGAAGTGACCTAGTAGCGGCCAGCGAAGAGGCCGGACCAGGAGCTGTGAATCGACCCCTGCAACCACAACTATGTTATGTTTAGTTTACTCTCAGTTTTTGGATGTTACGTATACCTGATGATAACATCTGGCTGAATCGACTCCTGACAGACCATTGTTCAGTTTCCTCAGATCTCCAACAACCTGTCCCTGATGAGAGTAAGACACATGTGCAACATCTGGGTATCTTTATTGTAGACGTTTCGCCATCCAGTGGCTTCATCAATACAAATTCCAGGACATAACTTGAAGACAGTAGAACTATGTACAGAAGATGAGGTAATCAGTCCCTCAACCTAGGGGTAGGTGCGAACAGCACCATAGTCGTGGAGATTCTGAACCAGAAGAAAGAATCCTGGCGCTTATATAGTAACGTCAGGTGAAGCAGACGAGGGCAAATTCACTGGTAGGCGGGATTCCCCAGTGGAAGTAGGTCCGTCCCAAAGAGATGGGTTAGTAGTAGTAGTAGATGTCGTAGTCGTGAAGGTTATGTACATGTCCTCAGAATCAAGATTCCATGATGTTGCAGTGTCTGACAAGTTGTGCACGAATGGTATATAATACCGACAAGATGAGAGTAAGACACATGTGCAACATCTGGGTATCTTTATTGTAGACGTTTCGCCATCCAGTGGCTTTATCAATGATGAAGCCACTGGATGGCGAAACGTCTACAATAAAGATACCCAGATGTTGCACATGTGTCTTACTCTCATCTTGTCGGTATTATATACCATTCGTGCACAACCTGTCCCTGACCTCTCCATTTTGTCTGTTTTGGAGTATGACCCTGACCTACCTCACCTTCCTCTTTTACAGTGTTACCTAGTGTCTTGTATCTTACCTAGAATTCCATCTGAGTCACCTAAAGGACTAACCTAGTTTGGATCTTCTCTAGCTTCTCTAACCTAGTTTGGAACTTGTCTAACGTAGTCTGGATCTTCTCTAGTTTTGGATATTCTCTAGCTTCTCAAACTTAGTCTAGAGCGTCTGTTCTCTAGTTTTGGATCTTCTCTAGCCTCTATGCTGCCCCCACATACTCCAAGTTAGACATAATGTAAAATCTGCATAATGTTCCTGACAGCAGTTCTTAAGTTAATTTTGCTTATGTCCCTCATACGAGCCTGGCCCATGGCCGGGCTCCGGGAGCTGAAAGATTCTCGAAGTTCATCATCAAAGGCATGTGCACTTACGGTAATGTGCCTGTGACGCTTACTCTTAAATTTGTCTCCTTGTACGCTGTCTGCAGTCTGTATCCTGTATCTCGTCTGTGACTGCTTTCAACAGCTTTTTATACTTTCGGAGTCCGGCCTAAAGTTAGGCTTTTCTGTTGATTGCTTGTTCATCCAGGCTGTTGCTGTCGGCAGCCCACTGGCCCACATATCCATAACAGGTCATTCTCTTCTCTCTATCTCTCTCCCTCTCCCTCCATCCTTCCTTCCCTCCCTCCTTCTCTCAATCTCTCTCCGTCCCTCTCTCTTTCTCTCTTTCCCTATCCCTCTCCCCCTCTCTCTTTCCCTATCCCTCTCTCTCTCTCTCT